CAACGAGATGAAAGCCGATGATGATTGATGAGGGATTCCGAGGGCATATCCCCTCGGAAATTTCCAACACTACGACAGCACACATCGACAACAGCTGCCACGTTTCCGCTTTGACAACGAGTCTGAATAATATCTCCTTTGTTTTCAAGCTTTTATTTACCTGCATAACGCCTGAGCTTATCTTCTAGAGGTGAACGTGTGACTAGACGTAAGTAGTCAAGGTTTCCTTACCAACCTTGAGCACCATACTCTATCCGTAGAAAGGATTTAGGGTGCAGTTTGCCTTGGTGGGGCCACGGAGTGGTACTCAGTTAAACTTGTACAGTGCACCCTGTGAATCTGTAAACTCCTGTGACCGAGGTGGCTCACTCGCATCATTTCGCAGCTTCACAGAAGGACTACAGGTCTCACCAAAATGAGACCTTTTATTTAAACAAAACGAATAGGCGAAAGTGAAAAGTACCCTTCCAAGCCGTACAGGCCAGACCCTCTTGCGTTGCTAACAGCTGAGTACACCCCTTTCTCGTATGCGTTGGGCGATCCACAACCTTACTGTCCCTAGACGTGTTTACTCAGAGCAATTAGAGGTACGTGGAGGTAAGGAACTAGGTGAAGTTGGACTTTTTGGGTAAAATAGGTCGTACTTGAAAAGCGGCGGAGAAGGGGCGGTGGGTCATGTTCAACGACCAATTTTCTTCATGGCCATAGTCATGAGTTGCGGGATCTCGAGGACATCCGTACGCTCCTCTCCCACTAAGGAGAGACTGATAAAGTTACGCTCGGCGTAGAGGGCATTTTGCACTTTCCTTTGTTGGTTTATTTTAACCAATATGTTTCACTTTGGTGAGACGTGTAAACTCCTGTGAAGTGGTACAAGTGAGCCACTTTGGTCACAGGAATTTGCAGGTCCTTACAAGGTGACCTGTACAAGCTTAGCTGATAGCATTCTACGCCCCCACCAGGCCGAAGTGCGTCTGGTAAGATTGACGACCTGGGCATATGTGGCCATATGTTGTCATTCCTAATGCGAGGCGAGTTCATGGCTTACTTTAAAGGGTCTGGGCAAATTGTTCCTCAATCATTCTATACTCAACTACCTCACAACAGTTTCCATTATTGTATGTATATATCGGAATTCTATCCGTAAAAAAGAATAAATGAAAAAGATGCTACAGGTAAGGCTGGAAATTGTACGCAAAGCTGTCACTTCCCCCATTACCCATTCGTGACGTTCGCTGTTTTCGATTTCTTTCGCCAATATAGAAGTTGTCGGCTTTGGCGTTTGCTTGTTGTGCTGTGTGAATGCCCCTTTGCGCCTTCCACGCCTGACGCCAATCAATGCTAACGTCACACACACTCACACATATATACACGAAGCAAACCAACCATTAGAATTCGGTTCGGGAAGATTTTCTCGTGTCACCAAATGCATTACGGTCGTTTTTCCTTGCGGCAAATTCAAGGCGTTAAGTGTGACGGAGCCGTGCAAAAAACGTCCATGATAGATGAGTTTGAGCATCGAAGCCGATTCCACTTTCTCTTCAGCCCATTCTGAAACATTTCTTTTGAACATGAAAATCTCTATTTAATAAGGAACAATGACGCTGTTCGGCTTGGGATGGGTATTTCGCACTTTCGCTAGTTTCTATTAAATTACAAGTACAACCCAGGTGATAGTAGAGTTTTGTTAAGTGTAAACAAAGCTGAGCATAGCTTTGAAATTTGCAGGAACTTAACAGAGAAAAGAGGATTTACAGGAGGCATCGGCAATGATTGATGAAAAAAGAAAATGCCCCTCAAGTCGAACGGCGCTAAAAACAATTGTAGGAGTTTTTTTTTCAATTAGGGGCAAAAAATCTACCGAGAAATGGGAGGAACATGGATCTAATTGTTTCACCAGATCACGAGAAGCTCGCTTCTTGATTTCTACTTCTACAGTAGCTGTAGTGTGTAGTGTCTTTAGGTTGTTCCAATACAAAAACTATAGTCTTAATATATGTAGTACAATCCAGAACCCCACAACGAGTCTGGTCCCACAGTAACTGATGAGGCAGGCATACAATCAAGTGCATAATGGAACTCTAAATTCCAACAACTTGAACACAGCCACTTTTTATACGTTTTTCCTAGTCCCCGGCATTTGCTTTCTGTTCAAGAATTCGTCCGAAATTTCACTCCATTTTGCTTTTTACGCGTAGCATTGAGTTACTATAGCCTCAAAAAGTTGGACAAGTAAAGCAATATATCCCGTAAGGAAAGTGGCTGAGAAATGTTTTAATTCAAATTAACAAACTCTTCCGAGCTAACTCCCTTCCCGGGTAAAGGGAATGACTCAAAAAACTTCATAATCCATTAATGGTTATTAGTACATGCACGCGAAGGACTTGCATAATAAATCGGTTCCCATTATTTTTATTGCGTTCGAGCAGGGAAGAGCCCTCCACCAGTCCTGCACCAATTGTGCACCAAACACCGGCGTCCACCCTCTCACACCTCCACTCACTCACCCACGAAAATGTCCCTTTCTTGTTCGGTCTTTCATATCCAATACTGTAGATGTACCAGAAGGGAGGAGAATCGGCGCTGTTCCTTTTGGAAGAGGCATATTCCATTCCCGCTAGTTCTTTTCTTAGTTCACTTCACAAGAAATTACAGGTCTCATCTTGGTGAGACCTGTAAACTCATGTGAAGATTGAAATGGTACAAGTGAGTCGCATCGGTTACAAGAACTTGCAGGTATTCACGAGAAGGCCTGTACAGCCCTCCCTAACTTCTATTTATTGCACCCTCTCCTCCGCCTCCCAAGTCCAACTGCCGTGGGGAATCTATATAGGGAAATTTCAATTCCAGCGAGACAAGTTCAATCTGGATAGCTTCTGATGTATGCAAATTTACTCACGGAGGAGAGGAAAGGCTAAAAGGTTGTTTCGAGTACTAAAGCGAGCACATTTCGAGTACATGTAGTAGTAAGGCAGAAGAAGAGATGCAGATGGGGTGTTTAATAGGCTTCGTGATGTGAAATGCAGGCGTAGTTTATTCTGTTGGAGGCACCTAATAGTATTTGGGAAGCCTTACAGGCCTCCTTGTAACAACGTGTGAGTTCCTGTAACTGAAGTGATTCACGTGTACCACTTCGCAGCTTTGCAAAGTGAGAGAGAACACGAACAAGCCAAAGTGCAAAATGCTCTTTCTAGGCCAAACAGCGCTAAAATTCATAAAAAAAAGTCAACGCTGAATATTATCGTCCTGCCCGAGAGCGTCACACCTGGGTTCAAGCAACCTTTCACATAATCCATCTGTTCCAGAAAAAAAGTTTTATGAGAGGCACCTTCGCCACCTGTTGTTTTTGTTTCGGGAGCAGTTGGGTCTGCTATGCTTTTCTCTATCCCAAAATCCCATTTTTCACTCAGTCATAAATAAAATCGAAAAATGATGAGAATTTAACTGACAAACTTTCAAAGCAGTCGCCGTGAGTACCTTACGCCCTTACACCTTACACCCTACCCTGCAAACGATTTCCGGTGTGCACGGTCAACTGGCAATCTTCCCCTCATGGCTGCTTAACACGATGCACTTTTATTTTTTCTTGACGCTCGACTTCACAAATTACTTTTGCTTGCATGTCAACAGCGAGATTACCTAAGTGCACTTTGGGTTCGAAACCAGCTTTCACACATCCAGGCTTTTCCGCATAATCAAATACAATTAGCAAGTAGTGTGAAAGAATTAAGTGCTACGTTTTCCTGCTACCAGGACAAAACACATTTACATCAACCCTCAAGAACAGCTCTTGCCCTGTCTCAACCAATTGCTCTCCCCTTTCTCTGTGGACTCAGGCCTTCCACATGAACGCCTTCCATAACCCGATCACTTCACTGGGCACTTTACGAGCTGCACCATTCTTCAACCCTTTCGAAAGGGAGAGGGACTGGGCAATCGTGATTTGTCGCGTCGCCGCACGCGGCGTCCGCGGCAACTTCTCAATACGCATCAATTTGTCGCTTGGAGCAGCGAAAGTCGCGTACATTCGAGCGTAGACAAGGCTTATAATAGGCGATGTTGAGTTTTCCCATTCAGAAGAACGTCCGTCGCACGCGGCGTCACCCACCACGCCCACCAGCGCAGCACATTACGACCATCTTCTCACGTACCCCTCTTTAGGCACTTAAAATTAGATCCTTCAAAAGAATGTACATCTTGATGGTAGTTCTTATAGGGTATAAAAAAACCACAGCGTCTTACTAACCGAACTAGAACTTCAACAATTTCCATGTTAAGCCTCAAAAATGTACCAAGGATAAAAAACCCATGGTTACCGCTAGATCGTCAAAAAATACCAGGAATTCGATTTCACACAGATTTATTGAGCCCTGACTGCGACATCTAGTTTATAAACTGCAAGCAAAAAAAGCAACCGGACCTTCACCACTCCTAACCGCTTCACCACACATTTGTCACCAATGAACCTTTACGTACTGGAGTAGCAAGGACGCAGCTTGAAAATGTTGTTCAGAGAAGAACACTTTTCAAATTCTACCTTTCAAAACATGCTCAGCAGCAAGAGATCAAAACGAAGAGAAAATTCAGCCAAACGGAAGCAGCTTCGTTCGTTCACTACAAAAAATGGCACAGGAAAGCCGTTGAGCTGAGAGATCAAGAGTGGCAAGGTGGCGTAATGGATAGCGCACTCGCCCGGTCAGCGGAAGATGTGAGTTCGACCTGTTAGGGGTGACTTTTGCCCGTAAGCAGCTTCTTGTGATAACAAAAAAACAGTTTCCGGACTTATTCGAAGAAGATTGCCCGTGGTGATTATGTATCCGCCCGAGGGAATCCCTCTACGTTACGGCCACAAATGGCGCGTGGCGCAACAGCGGCTGTTTTATAGGTCAGACAGCTACCGCAAAAGCATCTTTGTTCCAGGTGTTCTTAGCCATGCACATTCGTATGGCAAGCTATTTTCCTTCCGAAAATAGATTAGGTCAGCGCTAATAATTTCTTCGTGAGGACCCTTCCCATTTCCGACCTTCTGCAAGAGAAAGAAAACCGGCGCAGTTTGACTTTTAGACATCAGGTGACTACTTTTGAAGATCTGTACATCCCCGGGACCCAAATGGCTCACTCGCACCATTTACAGCTTCACAAAAGTTCACAGCGTAAAATTATTAGTTAACACGAACCAACAAAAGGTACTAGCCAAAGTGCAAAATGTCCCCTCCAAGTAAAACAGCGCCGTAAAAACTTGAGAACATTGATTTTTTTCTGAAAGATGACATCACTGAAAAGCGAAAAAAAAATCCTGATGAGCTATTTATTCCTAATCGGCTAAGGGGCAGATATGTGAAGACAGCGTAGCATCTTATACGATTCAATGCTGTCAGGTGGCAGCAAACAAGTTCCGCTCCAATAGAATGAGCCGCGTAAGTCCCACTTCGTTGGTGAAAAACCGTACCAACACTCTTCGATTTCGCAAATATGAGTTGCTTACTCAAGATCGTATAAACTTCAAGCGAAAATTCCTGATACTGTTCTTCGAACTAAAACCCACAATATGAATAACGGTAACATCGGTCATCTTTTTTCCTCTGTAACAGCAACATTACATTTTTCTAAAGTGTGTCGGAAGGGACATACTAAGCCTCGCCCACTTTCAAGGTACTCATTTAATTTTGCGACTTTTCGTTGAATTCGCGAACACATTGCCAACAAGTTTCTTGTCGAGGGGGGGGGGATGCGTCCTGTACAATAAAACATAGAGCGTTCCCATCCAAGCTAATCACTTTCCTCTGGATTCAGAGGAAAGTTTCAAAGATGGCGACTCGTGAGCGCGAGGAACATTTCATTACGAAAAGAATGTACGAAGGAAGAGAAACTATCAAAAAAAAGTATACTTTTAGATTAAAAGACCTTCAAAGCCTTGTGTCCATGCTATTTGGATACATGAATCGTGAACATATTAGATAAAAAAATGTAAGAGTAAGTTGTAGGCTGAATGAAAATTAAAAACTAAAAAGCGGCTTCAAAACGCTTGGGGCAGAATCAGCTCGCTCCCTGTTCCTATTACATGCCCAGAACCATAGAAACTCTGATCAAGTAGATGTTTCATTTTTGTTTGGAAACACCTTTATTTATTAGGGAAGCACAACATGGGAAATCAAGGTTTCTATTACGGGAACCATTTTAAGTAACAATGCCACATCAAATCTCTGTGACTAATTGTCTCGCCGGTGCGAAAGTGAATCAAGTCGTAGAATTGTTACAAGGAAATGAGTTTGTCTAATCGGTTCGACAAGGACATTCATCAGTGGTAACGTGCATGAAGACCACGTGTAAGGCAGCAATCAACAAGGGATTATCGTTAGTAGGGCGTATGAAAGGAAGTAAAACAGTAGGCGGAATCAAGTAAAAACCAAAGATGAACATAGTTGGAGGCAGTGGAGCCTATGAAAAAAAAACGGAAAAAGTTTTTCCAAATATCTTGCCACTTACCTTTAGGCCATTGTTCGAACACTTTTTGGGTCACTTCATGAGCAGGTGTGAGGGGATGAAATTGGAACTCATGCGTCCGACCACTCACCAGTATCAAACGCAACGTGACCTGAAGGCATACAGATTAGCCAGCAGCACAACTTGCAACCAGATTTATCGACAGATTAATAGTTTTGTTCGTTGCGATCGCCGGGACGTTGAGGGAAGCTGGGTTTCGCGCCGCACTAAACCCATACCCTCCCCCCCATAAAACGCCCCAACATCTGCAATACTTATGCAGTCAAACAGGGACGTGTCATTCAAGTTATTCACAGTTTAAATATTAACCCCACTTTTCGCCAATTAGGTTAAAAGCGCTCAGCAAACTCTGCGCATTACTAGGCCTTCTTCTATTCACAGATAAACAACCACAACGATCATCATCCAGCTTAACTTGCGAGGTAGTAGTCACAAGCGCTATGGCGCACTTCAATGAATCTTTCCATCCAGACAAAGTAAAAATTGTTTATGCCCCTTCTCGTCCGTTTAGCTGATATCAGATTTTTATAGGAGGCCAAAGAAGTAAAGATTAACCTGCCCTTATAAGTCGTCGATGGCGTTCACAAATGTCTGGTTCTAAATTTAGGTAAGATACGTGAGTATCCCATGATAACGTCAACAACTACACCCTTTCCCTAATCCGATATCTGACTAGTACTCGACATTTTGAGGAGCTCTCTTTGTGAACTTCTCTTCTGCGAATCCCTACGGAACGCGTTTAAGTTTGCCCGAGTCCACTTACGACGAATCGCGCCCTCTACTTTACATGATTGATGGTTCCACGGTCATAGCCTTCGTCAACAAACATTTTTAGATTCAATGCCAATGCTATTGAAATTGGAGAGGCAGCAGAATAGAGAGGCTGACTCGTTCTGAACGATACTATACCTTCTAGTCGGCCACGATACTGGGGAAATAAAGCATTCGCGGAAGAATCAAATTGCAAACTTTGTTACTCGTTATAACCAGAAAGTGGGCGCTAAAAGTGTAAAGCACTTTGGAGGGCACATATAAGAGGTTAGAGAAGAAAGAGCATCAGGCAGCCCTCGGAGCCATATATCTGAATTTTGACAGCAGCACGGTGGGCAAAAGGGCAGCTCTCTGAAGGGCACAGTTTTTGTAATCGTGGGAAATGGAAATTTTTCTTGTCCCAGTTCATTCATTTAACACTGTTTTGATATTACCAATGTTCCAGCCAAATGTTCTCGCTACAAAGCGACTTCTAGTGTTGAAACTCTATGCAACACCCATGTGCGACGTCTAAACAGCTATTGCCGCAACGCTTTTTGTACCGTCGCCACATGTCCCATGTGTACAAGTCCCCACACACATGTCCGCACCCCGAAACAAGGCCAGTTTTTGCTGAATGACCAATACAGTGACAATTGTCCACATGGAGAACAGCTGCCCACACATAAGGGTAACGCTCGGCGGTATAAGAGAGACTACCACACGGACTGTAACGTGCAGGACTACCAAAAAGCGTAGAAGGGAGGGGCAGTTTGAATTAAAGTAGTCACTGCGAAGCTGAGAGGGCACGAATATCGTGGGCTAAAGTGGAGCCAACAGGCTCGCCGTCAAAGAATTTCGAGCGGGTCTTCGCGAGGGGTGGCTGTACAAGTCTAGTTGGAGTACCGTTCGCTGCCCCGGGCAGTGTTCGGCTTATAGACGAAACCCCAAAATCGAGCCGAACCCCCAGAAGGTCAGCGTAGGCGCCAATTTGCTGAGCGCGCCGCGTCTATAGCTGAACTATAAAAGAGTCATGATTAATTGATGTCATGAACTTATTTGACCTATGAAGAGAAAGCGAGCACAATTATGGGTACGTAACACGCCAGAATAGGCGGACAAGTTTTGAGTCGCGGTTAATGTCATGATTTGATGTGGTCCATTCAGAAAATAGAAATTTGGTCGAAGGAAATTGGTCTTCATAAAAAGAGGGTCACGAAAAATAAACACTAGGAGTGCCATAACTATGTAGCCTCTCACAAGGAGGTCGTTCAGGGCGTGAGTGAGCTTTTATCAACATGCCGTTGTGGCAATTAACTAGGGCAACAATACGAGGAAAACCAGAAAACCTGAAGTGTCGTATTTCAGGCTGATAAGGCGCTTCTGTGAATAAAAAAAAAACGGTAAAATAGGTCGATAGGCTGCGATCCATGCACCGAGGACAAAAATTTTGAGCTTTCTAACAATGTTTTCATTTTTTGGATCATATTTGTCTAAATAATTGGTCCTAATGAAAACATTCACGATGAACTGAACAATCCTACTTTTATGGAGCAAAACTGCTTTTTCGTTCGAATTCGTTAGTATGCACAGACTCAGCTCTTCGCCAGCATAATGCCGGTGCCCCCGATATGGCACTGGACCCGAAGAGATGAAAGCTAAGAATCCGTGAAAATCGAGAGGACTGTCGATTGACCCCTAGGAGCCAAGTTTTTGAGCGAAAAATTTTATTTTGACGTTTTCGGTTGTAGGTGCCGACCATGTTGGTCGAGGGCGAGTGTGAGAACGGAGTTTCAGCATTCTTACAGCGATGACGTATCGTATGAGCGGGCTACGGACAGCCGAGACAACCCGAATAGGAGAACACAAACCCGAAGGAAGGTCAAAAACAGATGTGTTTTGCACTGAAACTCATCGAATTTTTAGTCGGTCAATCAGTGGGCCGCTGATCAACGAATATAAGCACCGTATTCTGTGGCAATTCACGCAATCTGGCGAGACAGAATCCCGCTGAAGCGATTCCCTAGCATGGGCGTAAGTAACGAATTCCTGGAAGAAGATGGTGGCCAAGACCGAAAAGTTGTCTATAAATGTGAACACCACATACAGGCCCAAGAAGTTTACTAATTCGCAAATCATGGAAAAGGATGCCAGGCTGTATAGGCTAGTGAGGAACAGACGGTCCGAGACACAGTCACTTGTTTCAATTGTGGTGAGAAAAATCGAGAATGAGTGTGAATAGCACAGACTACCATGAGGTACAAACACTCAGAAATGTGCCCATAAATAGGCAAAGTAATCCGAATATAGTTCAGATAGCGTAGGGCACTAATGGAAGCGAGAAAAAACCAGAACAGCGAAATCAATAAAAAATGCAAAAAGCCACGACGCAAGGGGAGCCGAACCATCAACCCCACCCCCACTGTCCGATTGCGAAACCTCCACTTTATCCGCTAGGCCATCCGATGCTCGACTATGCTAGCACTCTTATCGTTGATGAAACCATTGCAAGAAGCCGTTCACCCTTGAGCACATGACCCAAGTTGGAAGCTCACTTACGGCGATTTTTCGCTTCGATTCAAACGGCCCCTTTATAAGGACCCCCCACTCAGCAACTGGTCAAAGTTGCAAGTGACCTACGCCGCATAGAGGCCCAGAACGAAGCAGATTCCACAGATTTCTTTCACTCATTTTCACGTCTTTTCCTGGACAAGCGGGCGCAGCGAAGAAAGTGAAGACACCTGTTTCAGGTCCTTGCCATAGAGCACCCCGACAATAATGACAAAAAAAAACCACCGTTTTCGAAAAAGCGCAGCCACGCCCTGAACGACCTCGCCTTGTCAGCGCCTGAGGGCATTGAACAACCGGGGTTCACACCTGTTGCGACAATAATCGTTTCACAATCCAAAAAAGCAGCCTAGTCCGCATAAAAAGAGAGCCATTTATTGACTGATGCCTCGATTTTATTACACGTGTCGGCAGAACGGCAGCGTATCTTTCTCGCAGATTTTCCAATCCTCGAATTCCGCGAATACATACAATCTCTTTTCGCAGATTTCTGACTCCAGTTCTACAGTGGCAAAATCGGTCCTAGCCAAAAGTCCCATCAACCAGGTCGAGAAAAAAATCGGGACCTATCAATCAAGCCTTTCTTCACTCCGTTAGCAAGCGCTCATAGTTCTATCGTACGAACAAAAGCAATTAATCGTACACGTTTTATGACCAGCTGCTTATGATTGCCGCCTAGGATGAACTTTGTTGCCTTGCCTAATAGCTTTGACGCACTAGGAACCTTGCGGATATATTTAAAGATGCTTTCCTCAGTTGATCGCCTCTAGGAAGAGAGCCTGACGTAAATGGGGATTTAAATAACCCTCTGAGTCCCAAGTAATCAGAAACTGCAAGGGTAGCGTCATCAAGAAGGCAAATGCTGACAATTCAGTATAATCAAGACGTTAAACGTGGAAATGTCAAATATTGTCTCAAATTTAGGAAATTCAAAATCAACCTCATCCAATGACCATAGAACAAACATAAAAGTAGTGAAATGAACAAATAAAAAAAGGAACAATTGCCTTCCTATGCAAAGGAATAATTCCCCCAAGGCTTGAAAACCATCAATGAGTATGCAGCTAGCATGAGGTAAAAAATCTCAACGACGCAACAGAACAGAGTTTGGTTTCAATTACAGCGCTCAGTAAAGTAAAAAGTGAACCAAGTACAAATTACTCTCTTAATGCCAGCAATTTGTCATGGCATGCGGGTGCTGCTCTTGAACTTCTCGTATTGAATCAGCCGAAACAAATACATAAAGGAAAAAGCAAATTAAGGCTTATATACGTTACAAATAAATCACATGCACCAGAACTACGTCGGTCCTGCCCGAAAGGCGCAAAAATAGAATGACGTACGCCTAGTGGTTTTATTAGTAGCAAAAACCAAGGAAGAATTGCAATCATCATTCCAATCTTATCTTCATTCATTAAAGGAGCATGCACCGGTGACCAGCGGATGAATTGAGTAACTGACAAAATCGGAGGCTGACAAGAAAGAACATAACCCCCTCCGGCTCGCTAATTTGCAAAGCATCTATTTATAATAACATTTCTAGGTACGAGAACTCAGATGGTTTCCTCATCCCGTCTTTGGACTGTCCTTAAAGGCACGGAAATGGTGCGAGAAGAGCAGAGGAAACTGAAGTGAGGCTTAGCTGCTGACAGATATCCTGAGGCCAGTCCTTAGTCATCACGCAATACAGGTCCAGGCAGCGCTTTCTACTTTAGGCATTTAGAACTGCTACAAATTTCAACGGAACTGAGCTCTACAAATGAACCAAAAGACTAGAAATTCATGAATCTGAGGGATAGATATAGCGCCAGATCACAATTAATTTCAGTACTTGGAGACAAACCCCGCGGCACATTGTGAATAGTGGCGTTAGTTACAAAACTAAACGGCGCAAAACGAATCTCCATGGAAGAAAAAAGCAAAAAGTCATGGAGATCACCCTAAAGACCGCTGGCAGCCTCTCTCTACAAGTTTTCCGGACCTGCTCGGTTGATCCCAACAAAAGCAATATCATGCCGCCTCTGGCTCATTAATTGTTTCTTCGC